CGTTAATATTGAAGTGTAGAATGACTAAATTTTTTATTCTCTTTTAATGTCTTTCAGATAAGCCTAGCTTTCTAGATGATGACTTTGTTTATGAAACCGAACATGATATACCGTGGAATAGTGGGTCATATCATTTGGATGAGAGTTTGACTGACTGTGTGAAATATGGAAATGGCGATGTGTCAGATCATGTATTTGGATGCCCTTATCCACTGAAGAAAAGGTTTACATTGAAACTGCCCTATCTTTTGGGTAATGGATTGTATAATTTCTTGATGATGATTGTTAATGTGTGTGCAGGGATTATGTAGGAGCAACAGAGAAATTCAATATCTTAGGTAACTTCTTCTCAGTTAAACTACAGATTAGTAAACATGTGGACTTTATTGATATTCTTGTCCTTAATTTTCTTCCTCTTCTTCTCTTCTTCTCTTCTTGTTAGCGCTTAAGGATACCTTGGCCCAATTTGGTACATTAAAGCGTTTTTTTCATTTTTATTTCCTAGGCACATATTTTATACATAAAAATATTGGTATTAGGATGTCTCTGTATAGTAGTCAAGTATGAATAAAAACAGCTTTCCAGGAAATACTAAAAGACTTTTTATTATTTTAAAAATCTTCTCATTTTTATTTTCATTTTCCACTATCACATACTTTTTTTTTTATGTATAAACATATATAAGTAGAAAATTAGAAAATATTTTCATTACCAAATGGAGCCATAGTCTTTGTTTGTTTGTTATGTCACCATGATATGTGCTTTGATGAAGTTGTCTTTTTGGATTTCTGGTTACTACTTTTTATTCGAAGATGTCAGGACTTCAGAATTCATTATGAATTGATTGTTTGGTAAGCATGTGTTATCCACTGGATAATTGACAAACTACTGCTATTTCAATCAGAGAGGCAGAGGGTTCTGGAGATGCTTGGTCTCCTAGTTCTCTTCTCTTATGTTAGTGATTTCATAGCTAGCTGTTGGAAGATTGCGTCAGGAGACTTTAGATTCAGCAACATAAGATAATTTTTGTGAAACAGATTTCATAGAATTTCCAGGGACTGCCTTTCTATTGTAATTTCCTTCTAATCCTAAAGTTTCTGTATCAGATTTGTAAGTCCCTTTTGTTTTGGTATATAGAATAATCCTTTAGCTTTGTTCAAGATATTTTGTATGAAATTTTATCATGCCTTTGTTTGATATTATTTATTTAGAAGAATGCCATTCCTTTCTTTGATTCTTCCACTGTAGTTAGTTGAATTGGTGATTATGGAGGCGTACAAGTCTATTTGCTTTTGTATTTATCTTGAGTCCTTTTCTTTCTTTTTTCCTTTGGCAATCAGGATCACCATTTCCAAGACACCAAACATCAGAAAACTATCTTGATTTTGTATCATTCGGTGAACCAAGGTAACTCCAATTTCCTCTAAAGACATATAGGTGGAATTTTGATATATATATGAGAGATTTGGTCTACATACAGTGGCAGGCATCCTAACTCGGGAAGGACCTTTGGTTTTGAAGATGTAACTAATAATGCTGACTGGTCATACTCTGCGGCTGAAGATGCCAGGGATAATTTGAGCCTGCCGAGGTAAATTTTAGCATCGAGGTTCTTATTTTTTAGGTGATTGCATCTGATTTGTTCCAACTTCACTTACAATTTCCATTCCCTTGTAACTTTTGACAGCGAAGAATCATGCTCATCTAGTGCAGGTTGAACAATTGATTTAAATATGAATTTGTGATTCAAATTTCCCATATTTGTTCTTATGAAAGCATATGTTTAAATGGAACCTGATTGTTTTGCCATGATTCATGTCAGTGAGGGGTGAGGCTATCAGTACTCCACTAATCGCAACAGAGAGAACGAGTAGAAAAGACACCCATGTTTTTCACAGCCCAGGAGATAAATATCATATAAGCAACATTTTTGCTGAAGGAAAACATGGAAAAAGTAAGGATGAAATTCACAGGGGTAATGTGCAAGGATCAGGAAAATTTACCAGGACTCTATTTTTGGGAAATTCAAAACTGTCTAATCACATATCCTCTTCCTTCCCAAGAAAATAGAGGCAGAGAGGCGTTGGTTGCCTGAAGAAGAATATGATTTTGGTGATTTAATTTTAGGATTCAGTTCTTTCTATCAGGCCTAACATACCAAACTTCCATTCCCAGAATCCTGGTTATGGGGCAAAGATTCCTTTAATTCATTTCCTGTTCCAGAGTTATGTACTGATAACTAATCTTCTTCTAATCTACACAAACATGGTGAGTTTGTTGATCATTCACCTTGATTGTTCTTTTGCATTGAAGTTATTAGACCATCTGCCATTTAGACACATGGAGACTGTTGAATCCCCCACAATCTCAAAGGTTGATTTTCAGCCAACCAAGCCAGATTAATCTCCAGGTTTTGAGTTGAAAGGCATGCCTCTATATTCATCTGACGTTACTTGTTTTCTTGGAGAGACACAGGCTTCTGATTTATTAATAGAAGGAAGCATAAACAGAGAAGAAAATAATTCAAGATTTCAATCAGCTAACTGTAAACAACTTGAACTAGGAAAAGAAATTTGCAATGAGATCAGCAACTTCGTTCCAAAGGAAAATAGGACAGCAGATGCTTAAATTTTTTAGGACACTAGACGGAAGGAAGCAAGCGGTGGAATATTAGAACTGGATTCAGGAGGAGAGTCTAGAAGGTTCCCGTTCTCCAGATCATGAAGAGGAGATATAATCAGCTGTGGAGATTTCCCATTCTCCGGATCATGAAGAGTAGATATAATCAGCTGTGGAGATTTCCCATTCTCCAAATCTCCAAGCATTGCGAGAGCAGCATAATGGTAGTGTAAGATAGACAAATTTGGAGCCGTTCTCTTCTCTTGCCTTTATTATTATTTGATCCTATCTGTTTTATCTGAGCTACACTTAAAAAAGGCTCGTACTATTATTAGATATCAACAATAGTAACCATTTTATCGGACCTAGTTATTCATTTACGCCAAGTCATATTTTTTTATACATATATACCGAAGATTTCTAGCTGAGCCTGAAGATAGAACAAAGTAAAAGACTGGGTAATTCTATTTACATCATCTAATCCTCGGATGATGCTTGGAAGCTATGTACAACTTCCATGCTGTTCCAAAGGCAGCAAAAGAGGCATTTATGCTGGACAGGATAAACATAAGGTATATTCCTTCCTGCCCATGTTGGATGAAGTTGGAGAATCCTCCAATGTGTCCCCTACTCTTTCATCCCCCTCTGTAACAATGGTGCTGCATTCACTTAGAAGCCTCTTATAGGCTATACAACAACGAAAGAAAATCTGAGATAGAGTGACAGAGAAAGCAAATTTAATTCTGAATGCCAATAAGAAAGTTCAAAATCCACAAAATTTGATGAATTAAACTCTTTAATAAATATCTAAAAAAATTAGATACTGGACTTAAAGGATGATCTACTTAACGATGCATCTATTGTTTGATTTACTAAAAGATACATCCAGGTCATTTGTTTACTCCTCCTGTAGTTCTTTTTTTTTAAGTGTATATTTGTCTGATCTCTTCTTTTCTGCTTCATTATCACTCGTGGTAATTAATTCTTCATCTTCCTAAAGCAAAGCACTTTACAAGGATTTTTGAACTCTTTCATGTGACATTTCAACTTCTTGACATCTTGTTGTCGGAGAGGCTTCAGCATGTACTCATTTGCTCCTTCCTCCAAGCACCTGTCATGGGGCAAACAAGATTTAGGAACGCAAACGAAAATTAAAGCCTATCCTCTTAAGAGTTTTTAATTATAAAAGGAGGAAGCAAAGCTCACAAACACTTACTGCTCTATTCTGTGAGGGTTGTTCTCTGATGATAATATAACTACCGGTATCTCCTTCATGGTGGGTGATTCCTTTTAACAGAGAAAGATTGGGATTTTCGTCAGTCTATATTTAACAATTCTTGCTATGAGGTATAACAAAACTTTTGCAGGGGAAAATAATGATACACAAAATCCAATTAATTAAGTAATTGACGCAGACCTTAACTCTTTTAAGTAGCTCATAACCAGTCATTTCTGGCATACAATAGTCGGTCACGATCAAATTCACATCCTGCAGATTGAACCAAAACCATTCCGTAAAGAGAGCTTTGCTTTTGATGGTAACTAACCATCAACCAGTAAATATGAGGGTAATTCTGTTTTTTACTTTCTTTTTTTATTCTTGGATAAAGGGTAAAGTACTGTTGTTGGCATTGGTAAATAATATGCCAGTAAATGAGTACTGTTAAAAGATATGACCTACATTGTTGGTTGGGTGTTGCCCATTTGCCAGACCCAGGAACTCTAATGCCTCTCTTCCATTAACTGCAGTCGTCACTGATAAAAAAAAAAAAAAAAAACAGAACTGTAATGCTTCATTGTCAAGTCCATATCAAGTTTCTAAAACAGCTAAACATGGCAAGACCCAATAACATTTACTGAGAAGAAAACTAATATGACAGTGAAAAGTCAAATTTGATTGGCCAATGGTTAGATTTTGTCACCTCGGATGCATGCCATTGCATGATTAACACGTTCCTTTCGAAGAGAAAAATAAAAGATTCTCAAAATCTTTTTCGAAAAGCATGGCCAGCCAAGAGGGTGGTAAAAATTCTCTCACTATTTGGTTCACACGTGTTGCAAGTTCATAAAGGAGAAGAATAAATGCACAGCAACAACATCGTCATCGACAAAAACTAAGATAAAAAAAAATACCTTTTTTTTTAAATTTTTTCAACAAAATACTTGATTGGGACTATGCACAAATAATAATGGCACAGATGATTATCATGTGATGATTCGAATTATAGATCACTAAACACTTGTCTCTCTCTCTAATAAGACCAGTTCCGTGGTCTTATTTTCACACAGGCACAGACATTCACTATCACGGCGTGATAGCCAAGTGCCAACTTGACAGAAGAGGCCTAGAACCAGAGAACAATCAGGGAAGAATATATAGATATGGAGAGTATTAAGGTATAAATTCTCTCGGTACATTTACTGAAAGTATGAATATACAGAGACGTCAAATATTGGAAGACAAAAAATTTGTGTTTACATGTCATTGGAAGATAGAGGAGAACTTACAGAACTTACAAGCACGAAAATAAACCAACAGCTAAAACTCCATGGCCAAACACCAAACAATGAGCTTTAAGAAGAAGATATCGCCCAGCAGACAAAAGATTAAATAAAGAAGACAGAGAGAGATTAATGAGAAGAACAGAAAAAGGTTTTGGGAGGAACGTGATGCTATATACGAACCTTTACATGCTGATTTGATGAGCAGCTTTTCAATGAGTTTGCGATCGACAAAACTATCATCAACAGCTAAAACATGCGGTTTGTGATCAGATGAAGAAGAAGCAAAAGAAGAGGATGCCATTCTCAAAATTTCTTACGAGTCCTCGGACCTCAAACTCACCCACCTAGGAGAAAGAAAGAAAAATAACAAGAGAAAAAAAAAAAGAAAAAACAAGAACCTACTGTAAAAGAAAGAAGGAATATAAAGACAAGAATAACAAAGGAGAGAAAGAGAGAAATGTCTCTATATCACCCCAAAAAAGAGAAGCTCGGTGTACGAACCTATATGAAGGCAATGTTGTAAAGGAAAAGGGTTTCTGCTGTGGTGGGGGCCTGTAACTTAATACACCATGTGGGTTAATTTATAAGAAAAGAAAGCAAGACTTTTAATTAAATTTTGAAAAAAAAAAGTGAAAAGAATTATGATCAAACCCAAAAACCAACAATGGAAACAGAAGCAAGAAAATATTGAGGAATTTTTGTGATAAAATCATTTGGTGGGAAGAGAGGATGGTCAAGATATTCTGTGATCTTTTTAGGCCTGTGGGATTTGATTGCAGATGCTGCAAAAGCATGCATAAACCTTCTTCTCTGCTTACTTAGTTCTCTCCAGCTCATCTCTATGGTTTTTGTATATTCCCTATTTTAACTTTTTTTTTTTTTATTTTTTTTTATTTTGGGTTTTAGTTTTTCTTTTTGGCAAAACACTGCGTTTTGTTTTTATTATAGAAAAGCCCAGTTGGCTAAACAGTCACTTGATGTTTCTCTCTTGAAAAAAAAAAAAAAAAAGAAAACAAGAAAAAGGCTGTTCATGAATATCCTAATCTTCAACTCTCAGCAGTCTTTCATAACGACGAAATGCCGCCTCACATTTTCTACTTCACCACATTACTCCAAAACCCAACTGGTTTTGGTATCCAAATCAAGGTTTTATTTGATTATGATTACTCCCAAGTTTACCAAATGATAAGATTTTCATATCCCACAAACATAATATATCCCCAACTTATATATATATATATCAATGTGATATGTATTTTCTGTTTTAAGGTAATTTAAGCAAATCCCAGGATCAATGATCATGCCAAGTTAGGCTGGAGGATGGAATTGATAATATCCTGCAAACGTAACAACTGCATATTGACTGGTGAAGATCCTATCTAGCTCATTTATTTTGTGAAAAGACAAATAAAATCTTTCCCCTTCTATATATATATATATATATATATATATATTTTCAACTTTTTAGAAATTATATGATCACCTCTAATTTTACTCAATTGAGACTAATTTGATCTGATCAAGTGGCTAAGAAGATCACTGTGTGAAGATTCGGCCTGATTCTTCCTTTTGGTTTCTAGTTTTTGGCTGTAATTTCATTATTAGATTAGACTGCCCGCAATTCATGTAAATGCAGCCAAAATGCCTTTTTCTCTATAACCTAAATCACTAAAGCTAACATCACTCACACACACACACACACACACACACACAAAATAATAATACACACCCACATATTTCCTGAAACAGTAAAAGATGACATAATACAAGAACTCTGTTAATTCATTGATATTATTAATCTGGTCCTTCTGGTGACACAACCCCGTTATCTTTTTAAATAAAAATACATACATTTTATTAGTCTTATACATTATATGAAAATGCACAACATGTTTTGAGCAAACAATTTCTTATAAAGAAAAAAATATAACAATCATCTCGCCAAAATATTATAGGCCATTTCACCCATCTTTTATCTTCCTGATGTATATGCCTGTTTTAATGCAAATAAATACACTGGCTGAGGCAATTATGTAAATGTGCACGACTGTGTGCGTCCATGCTAAGAATTTATTGTGGATTTACAGATTATACGCTATTCTGAATAGCAGACTATATATATATATATATATATATATATGTATAGAGTGTTTGAATGAGGTCATTAGAAACAATCAGATGCTTCCATCAATGAGATTTAAAGTGACAGAAATAACAGCTAGTGGGCTATGGTGTTTAACAGAGCAGAGGCCAAGTCTTTTCAAATTAACCAAAAAAATTTTGTTGGGACTTTTGGGCAACAGAGTCACATGATTGTCTCGCAATCTTAGGAAGCCTGTTTCCTTTTAACTAGTCTTCTTTGCCTTTGGATTCTTGAAAACTGGCTGGCATCCTAATTGTATTCCAATACAAATTTCAAACATTTTCTTGTTGGGATAATTTTAACTTACAAATTGATTTTAATACTTAATTTCTAAAATCAGTTTCCACAACGAAGCAGTTCAGTAATGTTAACTAGGCCTCCCATTGAAAACCCAGGAGCAACCAGGTTAAAATGTGAATTCCAAACCAGCATCACCATCATATCTCCTCTCTACTTAACCCGATTCCTATGTTAGGAACCATTAAAGTAAATAGGCAAGAAAAAATAACCCAAAATCAAAACCCAATAAAGGGCATGATTCTTGATTTTTTTTTTGGTTTACCCCTCAGGATCCTCCTGCAACTTTTAGCCTACCAAGACTCTTGTGTGTTTTGTTCTTTCCCTCATTCTATTAAAATCAAGTTAAAATGAAGAAATTACCCCAAAAAATCTGAAACTGGTCGACAGTTTTTGGCTTTAACCAGCATAGCCAAAGAACAGGAAGTATCTGAATTTACTTTAGAAAATCATATATCTCTTAAAATCTTTACAAGTAAATGGGTTGAATCTGCCAAATGCCAACTACCAGCTGCTACCTTCATTGATTCTCTTCTCACAATCTTCCTAGTAAACCTCAAAAATCCCAAAACCGCAACCCATTAGTTTATAATAAATAATTCACCATGGGCCATTACCAGCCCAAAGCTGTTCAAATAATTTCTCATACTCATTTTGGTCTGAGTTTATCTCCCGAGTAGTAAAACTCTTCAATGTTAAATGTTTCTTACTTTGAATTAATTGAAACATGGATTTATAAATTGTATTATTTTATTTATGTGTTTGATAAACAAACAAAAAAGAAAATATCGAAACTCGATATTGAAAATTTTTAAAAGTAAATAACAAGAAAATTGTTGGATTTTGGACCTAATTATAACCTATTTCGTTATTTTGAAAAAGTTACAAATATATTTTTTTTGTAAATATTACGACTCAGTTTAATAGATTAATAAATGTCGAAGTATAAATTGATTTTTTTTTTTGTCTCCATATCGGATACACGAGGAAATCATTTTTAAAACAAAAATCATAAAATTTTGTAAGAATATTAAAGAATTTTGACTAAGATTAAAGAAATAGCTCAAAGATAAAAGCTCGATCATCCAACTCTATCCAAATTTTGGTCAAGATCTTCCTTTTTTTTTTTTAATATTTTTGTGTTTTAGTTTTATATTATTTATTATGTGTTTTTTCAAAAAAAAATAATATATATTTTATTGTAAGACTGTTAAATTGTAATATTTATTTAAATATAATAATTATATTATAATTTTTTTTGAAGAGATTCTATATATTTATTTGATTAAATAAATGATATATTATTTTCTGTTTCCCACATTGATGAAGTAACTTTTTC